TGAAGAAGGGGCTTGACTTGAAGATGGGGAAGTTCTTTGTCCAGACTGTCCAATATCCACCCAGTACTGTCCCTCCACAGCCTTGATCCAATCCCCATATTGCCCCTCTTTAGCTGAGCTAGATTTGATGGCCTCTATTCTTTGCTTGCAACCTCGGTCAAGATGACCTATTAGGCCACAGTAGTAACAAAGATTGTGCAATTTTTCGTATCTGAATCCCACTGTAATGAGTTGATCATCAAGCTGAATGTTGGTGCATCTTGGTAATGGCTCATTTACATTGACTGAAACCAAAAGCCTAATGATTTTCCGCCCATGATTGCCTGAACTTGCCAAGACCACATTTTGAACAAAGTGAAAATTTTTCCCTATTTTGACCCCCACTTCCGTACTGAGCCAATTGATAAGAAGATTCCAAATCTGCACCCAAAGCTTGACTACCTGGAAGTCAGGATGTCTGCTCGAAATTCCTGCCTCTCATTCTTTGAGAATTAAGTATTGGTTTTCAAAACTCCAACTGGTACCATCCGCTACTTTCCTCATGTCATCTTTACTTTGAAAGACAAATTGGAAAAAGTTATGTCCCAGCTCTTTCACCTCCATCTGCTGTTGCAATCTCCAAATGTGGCTCATTGTTCTCTTGATTCCCAGCCATCTTGCTTTACGATCTCCTATGACTCTGCCAAAGAGACTTTTCTGGCATTCTTCAGCACATAATTTGATATCTTCATGAGCAATGCTGGTAACTAAGCTTTCCATATCGGACAAAGAGAATTTTTTGCTGCGGTCGGCTAGGTCATCGTCTTGACCTATACAACTGTGCTGAACCATAACTAGGGTTCAGATTTTAGAAATTAAAATGACTGCAGAAGGGACCACAGGTGAAGAAGACACCCAAACCTAAGATCGAACAACAAAGAGCAGAGAATCACATATGAAATCACAAGATAAGCTCCCACCCGAGAGAATCGTCGCTCCTGCTCTCACCCGAGAGAATCCTCCACTATTATGATGATGATCTTCTATTTAACATCCATATTGTATATATGAAATAAATAAATTATATTTATCTTTATAATAATATAAAATAATAATATTTATTAAAATTCATTAGAAAAATAAATTTATTTATCAATTGATATATTTATTTTTAATGTAGTTATATGTTGTAAGTTAAAAATTATTATAATATAACATAAGTAAGTCGCACAAATAAAAAGTGTTATACTAAATATAATATAATATATATATATATTTTTGTAAAAGGTATTTAAATTTTCAGCTACTTTTTCTCATTAATTTTAGACTTTAAGAAAAAAAATTAGCAAGCACCCGTGTAATACACGGGTGTTATACTAGTATAGTTTATTCATGGGTTAAGTTAACAAGTTAATCCATTATTATTTATATACATGGATTACGTTAACAAGTTAATCCATAATTATTTATATATATATATGTTAAAGTTAACAAGTTAATCCATAATTATTTTATACATGGATTAATAACAAGTTAATATATAATATACATGAGTTAGTCTTGTATGATTATAAATTCTCATTCTTGAGAATTCATTTAAGTGAAATGAATCAAAATCTCCCGTGTTATTTTGAAAAGAACAAAAGTTGTTCTTGATTAATTTGAGAAAATAAAAATATTTCCACTTTTATTTGATTCCAAGATACCAATTCAGTTTTGGAAAATTTTTACTAGCGAAGAAATTGTTCTCGGAGTCGGAATTCAAAAGGTGGATTCGATTACAGGGGAGATACTTGGATCCCATACGGAGTAAGAAGACGGTGATAGCCACATAACCGGGAATTGATTTTCTCTGTGTCGTCGCAATTTGAAGAAAATTAAATGTAATTTTCGAAATTCTCTACAAATCAAAAATCGTAGTTTTACGTGATTTTAAAAGATGCCGGTCGAAAAATCGCTATATGAACCGAGGGATTTAGTATTTATTAGATAAATACTTATCTATTTCGTTTTATTTCCACTGCATTTGACCCTGTACGGTATAGCGAACCTAACAATGGTACCAGAGCCACAGTTTGCATCTTTAAAATCAGATTTTGATTTGTTTATGTTTATATGATAAACTGATTAATTGTTAAATTATATAATTTTGTGTGTGATACAAAAGTTGTATTTGATTTTAAAGTTGGGATTAATTAAATGAATCGAATTGTTCGAGTTCAGACGACCAGAAAATGTTTCTGATCAAGTGAGAAAATCATATATACAAGTTGTTGTGTATATATTGAAATTAGTTCCATGATTAACTAATTATAATCAACTGTTGATTAATATATATATATATATATATATGGCTTAATTGCTTTAAAAATCACGATCTTTTACGTTTTGGACGTTTTAACCAAACTTTTGGAATAGGCAAACATATCACGACCTTGTATAAAAATTGCAACCCGAACCCAATGTCTGTCGGCGGTGAATTTTTTACAGCGTGTCCGACGTCCGTTCCTACGTGGTCTCGACTGCTCGCTGACTTGGCACAACTAAACCGACGTGTTAAAAACCCAAAATACACGTGTGATACACGTGCACACCCACCCCATATATAAATTGAAAATCGGGGCCCAAAAAATTATCAAACCCTAATCCCAACTTGCAACAAAAAAATCCTTCTCTCTCGAAATCGAAGAAACCTACGTTTGTTCCAATCCAATCGGGCCAACAAGGTGTCACGATCCGCGGCCCCATTGTTGCGACCATGAGTGATAGGTATGGGAATCACTTTTTATTTTATATTTGTTGTTGTCGGATTTTGAAAACTGGTTCACAATTGTTGATAGGGATATGGGAAATGGATTGTTTTTTTCGATTTTAATTCAATGTTAATTATATATTAGATTACGTTTGATTTGTTTAATATTATTGTGAATTTCGAAATATGTTGCTCAATTGAATTCGGACATTGTTGATACGGACCTGTGAATATATGTTTCTTTGCGATTCTTTATTTCAGTTTTAATTATCTATTAAATTACATTTGAATAAAATTGTGAATTCGACATAGGATTTTGAAATTAGGGTTTTATTTGGGAAGATTTCAGAATTTAGGGTTTCATTGTAAAATTGGGGTTTTCAACAAATTTAGGGTTTCAAACAATTTCCAATTTATCAAATAAATTCCAATTTCCTAAGGTTATAGGTGAATTAAGTGTATATTTTCCAATTGTGATTCTATTCCAATATTATAACTGCACTTTCCAATTGTGATTCTTTTCATTGTTTCCATTGCAGAGACAAATTTTCACTCCTTATAAATTATGGAGGTTTTTTTGTGAAATGTTCAACTGTTGTGGAGTATCTAGGTGGTACATTCACTAATGTTCATGGATTAGAGGCTGATAGATTTGGCTACTTTGATCTACAAGAGAAATACAAAAGTTGGGAGTTGACAAGTATGAAAAACTTGTATACAGAATACCTGGTGTTGGGCCAGGACCAGAAAGTTTGAGAGATATACTTGATGATAACGGTGTTATGGAGGTTATCAGTTGTATTGAAAAGAAGAAAACTTTAGTTCAGGTTTATGTAGTTGGGGGTGACATATTTGTTGATGAGGAAGAGCAGAAATCTTTGAGTGAGGCATCATTTGAGATACCTGCAAAGAAGTTGCAACCAGAGGCACCACTAGCTGCTGAAAGTCAACAAGTTGAGACATCAAATGATTGTGACCCTGCAAGCCAAAAAGCTGCTGCACCACTTGAGGTTGATCCTTCAAACCAGAGAGCTGATGCACCAGTTGAGGATGATCCTGCAAGCCAGAAAGCTAATTCACCAGTTGATGATGATCCTACAAGCCAGAAAGCTGATGCACCAATTGAGGATGATCCTGAAATCGAGATGCAACAAATTAATGATATAATAGATAATTACACTGAGATTGAAGCTTCTGATGGTGGTGCAGTATCTGATTCTGAAGATGAAGATTATTTTCCAACTGGGATGAGTTCATCAGATGATGACCTATCTGAAGATCACTTTTCTGATGATGATGAATATGTTCAAGCCAGAAAGAACATAAAGGAGTCTAAGAAGAAAGCACAAGATTTTGATGATTGTGTACCAAATGACAACCAATGGCTAAGGTCTTTGAAGATGATGAAGTTTTACAAAATGCACTAATCTCTGATGAGTCAGATAGTGAGAGGGAAGTGGACTTAGATGGAAATTGTGTTCAAAGGAAGACAAGGTTGGTATATGATCCCAAGTGTGATAATAATTCACTTGAATTTCAGCTTGGCATGAGGTTTGAAAGCATTGAGCAGTGCAAGAGAGCTGTTAGAAAGGTGGCAATTGTGCAAGGTAGAGATGTACAAAATATGAGGTGTAACAAAAGGCAATTGGAAGTTAGATGTCAGGATGGCTGCCCTTGGAGACTTTATGCTAGTGTGATTGAAACAAAAGGCAGTGTGGCTATTAAATAGCTACATAAAGAACATGTCTGCCATAGAAATGTGCACACTAGACAACTCACCGCTCAGTGGATTGCAGAAGAGTTTGGTGAAAAGTTCAGTAGGAATCCAAGCATGTCAATTTCACAATTGGATGAAGCCATTTCTGACAAGTATACAGTGCAACCTACAAAGTGGAAACTTTATAGAGTAAAGTGGAAAGCCCTTGAATTGCTAAGAGGGTCTATCATGGATCATTACTCTCATCTCAGAAGTTATATGGTTGAGCTAATGAGAGTGGATAGAGAGGGGAAGTTTGAGTTCTTACTTGGGGAAAATACTACATTTAGAGGCTTCTATGTGGGTTTTAGTGCTCTAAGAAAGGGCTTTTGAATGGCTGCAGACCTATACTTGGATTTGATGGATGTTTTTTAAAAAAATTCTTAGGAGGAGCTTTGTTATGTGTCATTGGCAAAGATGGTAACAATCAAATCTATCCAGTGGCTTGGGTTGTGGTTGAGGCTGAAAATGAAGAGTGTTGGAAGTGGTTCCTCTCAAGGTTGTTTGCACATTTGGGTATAAGAGATGGGTTAGGATATACTTTCATTTCAGACCAACAAAGGGTGAATTGTTCATTCATTTATTACTTATCAGTCTGTATTTGAAATATTAACATGTTTAACTGAAACACTTGTTCTTTGTAGGGTTTGTTGAATGCTTTAAGGGACTTGGCCTCATTTGCTGAGCACAGAAATTGTGCTAGACATGTCTACATGAACTAGAAGAAGGAGTTCAAGGGACAGGCTCTGAAAAACTTGTTTTGGAGGATTGTTGTAAGCAACCACAAAGGTGACTACAACATTGGTTTGGAAGACTTGAAGGCAGAATGCAAAAAATCTTATGAAGACTTCATTGACAGAGATCCCTCAAAGTTTTGTAAGGCATTTGTTTCTCCTCTTCCTAGGTGTGATATGCTAGAAAATAATGTTAGTGAGACTTTTAATGGGTTTATAGTTAAGGGAAGAGGAAAACCTATTATTGAGATGCTTGAATTTGTAAGGACTGAACTAATGAACAGACAACATGGTAAATTGATGGAGATGAGTGGACATCCTGACATGATTTGTCCTAGAATAAGATCAAAGGTAGAGCAGAATATATATTTGTCCATACTCTGTGTCACAAAGCCTGCAGTTGGTGATAGGTTTCAGGTTGCATTAGAAGATGATCAGTTTGTGGTGGATTTGAGGGATAATACTTGTACTTGTAGACAGTGGGATATAACTGGAATTCCTTGTGTGCATGCTTGCTCAGCAATACACTTTCAGCATAAAGATCCTGCTGACTATGTTTCTGAGTTTTTCACTACTGAGGGGTATTTGAGGATGTATAGCAACTCATTGGAGCCCATAAATGGGAAAAAGATGTGGTCTGCTGCACAAGGCTATCCAATCTTGCCCTCTCCTTTCAAAAAGATGCCAGGAAGACCAAAGAAGAGAAGAAGAAGGGCTCCTGAGGAAGAAGCAAAAGGTGGAAGCAAGTTGAGAAGATTTGGGTTAGTTATGACCTGTCAAAGGTGTTTCCAAAAGGGTCACAACAATAAATCATGTACCCTGCCTCAAGTGGAACAACCTGCCAAGGTAAAAAATTCCATAACTTTTTTCATGTAATTCATTTTCTTGAGTACTGAAATATTTACTTTTCTATGAACAGAAATCAAAGGGAAGGCCCAGAAAGAATAGTTTTTATCCTCCACCCCCAACTCAAGTTCAACCAATGGTGTCTGAGACCATGGTAAGTCCACCAGTTGAGAGCATGACTACACCTACTGAATCACTTGACAGAATGACTAGACCAACACCATCAGCTCAGAGGATGACAACCAGGTCTCTAGAAAAGACAAACAAATTGCCAGTTAGGAGGTGCAGTCAATGGTCAGCAGTGATACAAAAAGAAAGAGCATTGGTAATTGTTTTATAGCACTATTATATTTTATACCAATAATTTTGGATGATAACATTTTTTTTTTTTGTCTTTGGCAGGCCAGAAAAGGATTTGGGATCTTGCAGTCTGAGGAAACTGGTAATATTTACATGAAGGTATGATTTTTATCAAGAATTCATTTATTTGAAAGAATATAAGTAATTTATCAGAAGCCATATAGGTATTTTTTTAATATTATAATGCAGTTGTCCAATGGAAAGAATATTCATATGGTATCTAGAGAAAGAGACCAAAGCAGTGGCTCAAGCAGAGGACACCACAGTGGGTCAACCTCTACTAGAGGTAGAGGGCAAATGAGTGGTTCCTTTGGGATAGGAAGAGGTCAGAGGAGTGGGTCAACTGGGAGAGGAAGAGGTCAAAGGTCAATTGGGAGAGGTACCAAACCTTCATCACAACAAGTAGGGGACTTTATATGCACTCAAGAGAGTGAGACTTGAGACTGATATACCTCTCCATGTAAAGAACAAATTGATGATGATGTGTTAGTGTTTGATGTGGTATTCTGAACAGACTGTGGTATTTTGAACAGACTTGGTAATGTTATGGTGCTTTTGGGATACTTTTGAAAAAAATTGGTATTGTTGAACTGATCTTAGGGATATGTTATGCTGTTTTTGGGATTTGGAACAATTGTGGATGTTTGGAAACTTTTGTTATGGATATGGAATTTCAACTATGTGTTTTGTGGTTTTGATAATGAATCATGTGATCTTGTGATGTATAATGTTTTGCAAATGAATTTACATAAGCCATTTACATTCTTCTGTGATTTAGTTGATCAATTTACACAAAAAAGCTAGATATTTTATGAACCTAACATAACATAATGCTCAATCTAACATAAGAAAATGCTCAATCTCATGAATAAAATAGATAGTTTATCAATTCATTACTTCAAAATAGCATTTCATACGAGGATTCCAATTTCAGTACGTACATCAACCTAACATAGCCCCATAATTCACCAAAAAACTAAGAAAATACATACTTCAGTTCAACATCTTAAGATAATGGACATGACCATTTCTACCAAACACACTCACAACAAGAACTAAAACAACAACAATCAAAGAAACCATAAAAACACTCATATTCCTTTCAAGGTTTTTCACTTGAGTTATGGTCTTCTCCAGAACCAAAATCATTTCAGAATTCTTGTCAGCTTCAACATCCTCTTTCAAACTCGATCTGTGATTGTGAAATTTTTCCATGTCCCGCAACTTTTCTTCCAAATCATGTCTTTCAGCCTTCAATCTTATGAAGCATGTCCTTTGAAACTCGGGCAATGATTGATCAATCCATTCAAAGAAGCGACAACCATTCTGCATATCAATGAAAGGCAAATCTCAAAGCAAAATTTCGACAACAAAAATTCACAGTAAAAAATTCAAAGCAAAATTTCGACAGCAAAATTTCATAGCAAAAAAACCCTAATACTTAGCTAAATTCAGCCAAATTCACCAAAAAAAAATCCTATACTATTCTCAGCCAAATTCTCATTGCAATTAAATTACCTCTCTATTCCGACATCTGTAGAACCTCCTACATGGATTATCATTAGTCATGGAGGTGAAAACGATCGCATTTTCACCGTGGTCGCACAGCTTCCGTATCGACACATTGGAGGCACCACTATTTTCAGAATTTTGGCTTCTACGAGATGAGAAAGACATTTTCAGACTAGATATGGTGAGAATTTTTAGGATAATTGGTTGCGAATTTTGGGGCTAGAGTTAGAGAATTAGCTGCAAAATTTGGGGAAGAAATAATTAGGGTTTGGAGAAAAAAATTTGGGAAGAAATAAGGAGAATTATCCCCCCCGATTCGGTTTTTATTTTGTGTGTATCACACGTGTATTTTGGGTTTTTAACACGTCGGTTTAGTTGTGCCAAGTCAGCGAGCAGTCGAGGCCACGTAGGAACGGACGCCGGACACGCTGTCAAAAAATTCACCGCCGACAGACATTGGGTTCGGGTTGCAATTTTTATACAATGTCGTGATATGTTTGCGTATTTCCAAAGGTTTGGTTAAAATGTCCAAAATGTAAAAGGTAGTGATGCTGGCGGCAATTAAGCCTATATATATATATATATATATACTAGTTGGCAGGATGGCTGTGCACGCACAGCCGGCTCTAGTTCAGTCTATAATTATAACCAATATTTGTCAGTATTTAAAAATACACATACCTATTTTTTTGCAAGTATAAATGTAAGAAAAAATACACACAACCGACTCAAATTTAGTTTGTGTAGTTCATATTTCGCGTTAAATTTTGTCATATTTTTCACGATAGACTAAAATTCGATCTAAAATACATAACAAAACTTGTCATCATTTGTTGCTGGTCTTATTTTTGCTTTTTTTTATTGTTGGCATATATCATGCCTATTCAGTTCACACTGTCTGGAGATTCTTTGTTATATTATTGTCA